GCTGTGTTTTATTAGCAAATATGTCCACCTAATCGCCACTTGTATTTGCACAGTTGAAGGGCTTATTGATACTCATTTGAGATAAATCTCAATATAATAACATAACAGATTTGAGTCCGTCTTGCTGCAAGCAGATGAGAGCACGTGATGAGCCCGAACACGTGGGTTTCCCTGCTCCAACCTTATGAACACTTGCACGTGTTCAGGAAAGCCCACTGGATAAAATTTATGTATTGCTAATGATTTTTATTGGCCCCTTGGCCCAAGGTGGTGGCAAGCTGCCCAGGAATCTGAAGGAATCCTGTTTTCGGTTAGAAGTCAGAATGCAAAGAGTAATAAAATTCAGAAAAGCCCAGTGAAAGCCAAGGCACATTTATCCAGGTACAATGAGTCCATCCAACCTTACGATTCTAATTTCTTTTGCCCATTTTTGCTTTTTGCGATTAGAGTATTGTGTTTCATCAGGGTCTCCTACTTGGGGGAATTATTTTCACAGTCGTGGGAAGTGCTGCTTTACCCATTTGTGTGTGTGTGTGTTTGTTTATACTGCACGCCTGCACAATGTCATGGAATGGCTAATACGATCCACAGCTCTCTTTCTCCTGCTGAATAAATGATCTCTGATATTCCTGATGGAATTTCAAGCATACTGCTTGTCTTATATTAAATTCAGGCTCTGCACACTACAGAAGTTATATAATCTGTCTTTCCAAAGGTAAGAACAAACTTCCAGCTGAGTTGCATTCAGTCAGTCACAGGAAAGAGAAAAGAGACAGATGAGATAGTGAAAACCAGCACACACATTCTATTTCTCAGTCTCATATGTATTTCATGTTACTCACTAAAAATATAGTTTTATTTTGATTGCATCAATTTTGCAAAAATATGTGCACAGGATGGAATGAATTAGAGACCCTCTCCATCCAAGAAGCAGAAAAATCACGGTCCAGGTACAAGGGGTGGAAGAAGTTGTTTTGGAGATGGAGGCGGCGTTTGATGATCATAAAATTTGAGGATTGGGACAGGGATATTCTTCAATTTAGAATACACATAAAGTGTATAAGTTTAAATGGACACCCAAGCCACATAAAGTAGAACTACAATGAGTGTTTGAACTGGCCACCATGAAGGATTCCTCATTAACATCCCAGGGACTACATTAACAAGAAGACCAGCACCAACACATCTCAAACTCTTTGTTTCTGGACATTTTATTCAGCCTGTTACATAGAGGCAAAGTGATTCCAGGAACTTCAAGGTCTGGGGTCAGCTATGTGCAATTCTTAATACCTAAAATTTTTAGGCCAATACAAGCAGAGATGCTAGTTCCTGTTTTTGTAAAATTTTTGAACTCATCATTGGTTGCTTGAGGGATCTCTCACCTAATGAAATTTTAGAAGTGAGACCCAGTTCCATGTATATACCTATGCTGTTCATTACTTACAACTTATTATATAAAATCCTTGTAAGAAAATATGTTATCAAATAACGGCAATAAATACAATATATATGCATTGGAGATACAGAAGAACATGAATCTTTCTTTGGCAAGACAGGCATACCTTCCTGAAATTTAGATGGTAGCATATCCTGTGCGGCAGAGCCAACAGAAGAGCGAAGGGGCCTAATTGAGACCCAGAGAGCACATGGGCTGAAAGCCCATGTCTAAGCAGGTAGGGAAAAATTCACAGGAAATAAAAGCTAATATTAGAAGAATGGAGCATGCAAAATGAGGATGATAAAGCAGCAAACATGATAGTTGTAAATTTCCAGAATGCGGTTGAATCTGCGGAAATTTTAATAAGCACAGTCATCATCCAAAGTGCTGTGAGTCAGCAGAGAGCCAGGCTGGGGTGTGGGATCCTTGTGGGCAGGTGGATGGCAGGGGAGCTCCATCAGGTCACAAAGGAGGACATGGTGGCACGCTAAGGGCCATGCTTTGGAAGGAAAGGCACATAAATGACCTATTTACTTAGGATGGCCTGTGAAGGCCCAAGTTTAAAGGAAAAGGCACAGGAAAAGCTTGCACAGGGACTATAAAAATCCTGAAATCATGGACAGAAGATGATAAAGCACAGTGATAAATAAGGCAGCAGATGTAGGCTAAGGCTCTTGGCACATGAAACAGCTGGAGAAAGAGAGAGAGGGAGGGAGGGAAGAAATGTTCTCAAGGGTTATCATTCCAATTTGTCCTCATTAGACAATGGTTCCCCTAAAAAATAGTCTTCATGAAATACCTGAAATCAAGTTTCCACAAATGCAGTGAAACAGTTTGACAAGTTTACAAATTACAGTTAGTGTAGGACGTAGGCTGCCCCACCAAGCAATTATGCCAGGATAAGGAATTTATGGATTTGTTGACAAGGAATCGGTTTCTCCTTAGTACAGGAGGCCACTCATACTGTCCACTCCCTACCTCTGGGGGAAAGCACAAATCCTATTAATGGCAGTACCATAAAAAGATTTGCTGATACAATCTACAGATATGTTTGTAAACACAGAAGTATTTTAGGTGAATTTCCTGAGGAAATATCTAAAATTATGTACTTGAAACAAAAGCAATAAATTGTCTCCGAGTCTGGAGAGAGAAATTCAAACTCCAAGCATTAACTAGGTTGTTTCCTTCTAACGTCTGTGCAAGAGAATGTGTCCCTGAGCACTCCCCGAGTCTATTGGGCATTAGTAATCTTCTGCATTAATTTGATTTTGTGATTTCCATCTTCTTCTCCTGACACTGTCTCTGACTGGAAGCTTACACTCAGGTTTCCTTGTTTTTACAAGGGAACTACTTATATTCTACTGGAAGGCTACTCTATGACCTCTTGTCAGCAAATTATGCCTGCAAAGTTTGTATTTCCAAATAAGATCACATTTGGAAACACTGTGAGGTATGACTCCAACATTCTAATTTTGGAAAGGTAGTTTGGGGTTGTATAACATATCTGTCATTAGATATTTGTAGGGAAGCATCCCAAGTCAAGTCTACAATGTTAATTGCTCCATCTGGCTTCCCTAGTGCGTATACATTTTTTCTTTCAAGATGGTGACCTTTGATGAAGTACATAATAGAGTAACCATTAGCTAATTTCTCTTGGACTAGAAGCTCTGAGAATGTCACTACCTACTCCTGCAGGTGACATGTCCACAACACAAAGCAAGACACTGAACCTGCAGGAAGTGTTTAATTTCAATAAACTGAGATACTACATGAACGTCAAAAACTTATTACTAGTAAACATTATTAAGTAACTATTAAGTAATTTCCTAATTTTTATTCCAAAATTGCAATCTCTGTTACTTTATTAGCTGAGTGATTGGAATCAATATCTCAAATGCACATGTGATTTTTATTAGATAAATTTATCCCAGTATAAATATAATATTTTTCAACTGATCCCTGTGAGTAGTTATATGATATTTATGGGGCCACAAAACTTGCATATAATATATGTATCAGATGAATGTTTTTCAGTATTATTTTGATGGTTGTAAATAATCTTCATAAATTCATAGGCACATATGGAGGTTATTTTGCCTCAGTGCAAGTCAAATAATTGAAGACTGTCAAAAAATACTTCTAAACATATGCAATCCATGGGAGGCAAAATCTTCATTTTCTTTATAATAGAAAATTCTGCACAGTGAGATTATATCTTTACAATGTTTAATCAAAAATAAATACCGAGTTCAGCCCAGTGACATCCAACAAAAAGGCAGGCTCACAAAAATATAACGCTGTGTCTTCATTCACCTTATGTACTAGATCTAAAACCAAGCCACTTCTGGCTCTTCCTCAAAGTCAAAACGACCGTCAAAGGGAAATGTTTGGAACTGATTTAGGCTTTCAAGGCAGCCACTGTAGCTTCATAAAGACCCTCAAGAAAGAAGACCCCAGCTCTGCTGCAGAAAATTCCAGAAATGATGAGTGTGCTCTAAGGGAGGGGAAATATTTTGGGGGAGATAGGTGGAAATGCATCTTTTACTGAAACAGTGTTCTATATTTCATTATTCACCATTGATTTTAATTACACTTCATATGCATCTAAAACACAAACAGAAAGGAATCAAAATTCTTTGAAAGCATTGAGAACATAAATGTGGGATTACATTCTGAAATTCTTACTCTTAAATTCTTTACTAAAATCTTTGCAAATAGTGATACAAACTGAAAGATGCTGTAATCATCTGCTCCTAGAAGTTCTCATCATTTCTTTGTATGTAGAATTCTCTTGACTCTTTCCGTGACCAGGACTGTCTTGTGTGCCACTTGCTTTGTAAACCTTCTAATTGTGCAGGGACTTCTTTCTATAGGTACACGCTTGTGTTCTACAGTGGTAGAGTTCATTGCAGGGTGTTAGTGCATCTACAAAACACATCTTTGTCCCTTCTTTACCCCCAGCGCCACCCTGCTCCTCCAACTTTTGGCTCCTTTTCCTTTCATAGAGTAAAATGTCTCTATTTTCTATGAACTATTTTTTACTTTGCTCTTTTTATGTATAATTGGGTTTTTCCTATAAGAGAAATTATGCATGTTTAAGCCCGTGGTTCTGCTTCACTTTCCTTCAGCTTCTGGTCTCAGTGTTCATCTGTTTTCCTGCAAACAGATGATCTCCTTTTCGGCAAAGTAGTACTCTCTTGTATATAAATATTATTTTTTGTTTCCTCTATTTGGCTCTTTACTTGAATTATATTTTGATTTTGTCACATCAGAAATAGCATGATATTTAACCTGTGGGTCTCATTTATTTCCCTTATCATTACTTTTTGAGGTATATCCATTTACTTTTCTTTTTCTTCTTTTATGTGAAAGAAAAGAAAACAAAAAGGATGGAGATAATACATAATTTTAAAAAATAAACAATAAGAAATCACTAGTTGATAATTAATTACTTATTGTCCTCTTAGAAATCGTTGTTCAAGTTACAAAAGTAAAACATACAAAAAAGACATCCAAATAATGAGATTGCCAACAGTTCTGTGCAACTATCCAACAAAAAGTTAAAAATGGGGAATGCTTCATGAATTTGGGTATCATGCTTGCTCAGGGTCCATGCTAATATTCTCTGTATCATTCCAATTTTAGTATATATGCTGCTGAAGTGAGCACACATCCATTTTCTTATGAAAGATTCAAATACATCCTTCTTTACTTCCAATCTTAGTGTAACTTCTTGATTAAAATCAGGAAGTTGGTATTTTTCTTTCTTTCAATAGTGCTATCAGGTACTAGGAATTAATTAAAAGTAGCTAATTGAATATAAGTGAAATAATTAAAAGAAGTTATAATACATATATGCTGATTCTGTTTTGAGAATGTTATCATCCAGTAAATGCCATTTCTCTACAGGCTCAGTCATTCTAAACTAAGTACCTTTGAAGAAAGCACAGTCATTAAATGATTCCTCTGACAAGTGACAAGGTCACACAGCCTTGAAGAAAATTTGATTCAGAAGTGCATGTCTAGTCTCTCGTGCTCAGGGCCCAGGCTGTCTTCCTGAGTGGGTGGCTGATCCGTGACCCCTGTAAATGGAGGAAGGGACAGAGTTCTCCTGGCTAGAGTGACTACAGGAGAAATCTTGTTGCAGAAGCAGGTATGTGGGAATAGAGTCCAGGAGCATCACCTTACACGAGCAGGGAGGAAGGAGGAACCCATCCTCGGCTGGAAGGAGGAGGTGAAAAAGAACCGAGAGGAGGAGGCTGTCAGGTTTTGGGACAGCTAAGAGGCCGTGAGAAGGAAAGGGCTGGGTGGGTAGGCAGGCTGCTTCCCCTGCCGCTCCATGTCTCCTGCACATGAGCCTGCTTTATTCAGAAGGTCAGAAGTGGGAAAAGACTTTCCTTAGAGTTTAAAGAAAGGATTCAGAGGCAAGCAAGCCAAGGGCTGCCTTATTTCTATGTTTTCTCCTTAATGAATTACGGATTTTACTGTGGCAGAATGAAAGAGAAAAAATATTCAATATTTATATATTATATAATATATATGCAAGATAGATAACAAATATAGGTATGTGCATTTACACCTACATACATGTGTGTCATATATATATATATATATATATATATATATCTTTACACACACACACACACACACACATATATATATATATATATATATATATATATATATATGCACATGCACACATAACAGCATTGTGTCAGGTGTTATATATTTCTCTGTATTACAAAAAATAAAACAGTTCTGATTTTTGCATAGAAGCAATTTTTTTAATACTCATGTTTTCCTGTTGACTATATCCTGACTTATCAACCAATACCATCCTTTTCATCAGCAATGCACCTCGCCTGGACTCCCTCCAAACACTTTACAGTAAACAGTGTGGGACAAAATAGCCCACCATGACCTACAGAAAAACCAGTGAGTGCCCAGGAAACCCCGTGTGGTAATTAGTACCTTTTCATATTGCAGCACGAAGTTATTCACTTTCTGTTTGGTCATCATTTCGAAGCCAAGCCCAATGGATGAGGGATTTTAACAAGTCATAAAAGGACTCAGGCAATTACAGTGACAGTGGAGCAGAAGCTATTAAAAAGACAAAGGTAAAAAGTGACCATGGGTCCCTGTTTAAAAGATGCCATTAGGAAGGGTTGATAAACTGGTGCAGTTTTCTATGCAGGAAAGAGGAAAAAGCTGAACTGGCACTTCATGTCACTACATAAAATTTATATTGCTCTGATTAAGTATTAAGTACTTTTTATCATAATGGACTTTACATATTACAACACTGGGAAGATTTTAATGCAGCTGCGGAAAGGATACAGCCTCAAGATCTTTCCATTTTTGCTCTTGTATATTATGAGAGCTGACATTATGTTTCTGCATATCTTTTATTAAGCATTATGTCTACCTTTAAACTCCTATGATATTCCATGTAGCATTTTCCAATAAAGTATATTAATCGTATTTTATATACAAGAACAATGAGTTACAGGCGTACAGCCACTTAGGATTTCCTTCAGCAGAAACAGAAAGAACAGAACAGACCTAGTTTTTAACTGAGGGGGCTAAAGCACCCTGGTAGCCAAATAATTCTTAAATTTACAAGTGGATCATTGAACATACACATCACACACCATGCATTTTCTCTTTTTATAAATGAGTGACTCCTGTAGGCCAAAAGTGTGCTCATGTACATCAGTGACCTTCTGATTCACAGTGGTGACCAGCTTAAAATTTTCTTTCTTATTAGAGTCATAGGCTGCATGTTTGCCACCAGACCTTCAGCAAGTGAACTAATCTGATGACTACCCAGGTGAAATTATTAAGATGGTATCATGCCATAGTCAATGACGTGTGTTTGGGTACTGGGCATAGAATCCTGACTGTCTGCAACTATTATCAAAAGAATATTCTACAAGACCTTTAGGTCTAGCTTTCACATTTAGATAAAAAATATACCAATACATTTTTCTCAAGAGGCAGGATTTGTCCTGGTAGACTCTGCTAAGATTTCTATTGTCTGGACATGAACCAAAAAGCTGGCATATTCCTATGGGTTAATAGTCACTTTATAAGGCAAAATTTATGTATTTACTTAATTATGCCCTAGGATGTCCCTCAAAGTCATGACCAAAGATCAACCAAATTCAATTAAATTTCTTTGTCATGAGTGTACCTCTCAGGTGTAATGAAATGATATAATGATTTTTCAATCAAAAGTGAATCAAAAATCGATTAAATGTACATTGACCTCGTGCCACTGATAGTTAAGAAGGAAGCTGCAATAAAGCATTGCTAATATTAATCAATATTTCTTTCAACTATTACTCAGAGAAGACAGCACCACGACAGATTTTAATCGATACCCTAAAGTGTGCTTTTTACATGTAGAAGAGTGACCATTTTTATTGCGACCTATGAGAAGCAGATCAGTGAATTTCAAACGTAAGGCAAGCAGCAAGGGCAGTACAGCATTTCCTTCTCTGGAATTTAAACTGCCAGTTGTGTGATCCTATTCTGAGAACTACTAAACCTCATGAGCATCTTTATGAAGTGTGATCAAAAACAGAGTGAATGATGCTGCAAGTGCCATCCAAGCCAACGCAGGATTGTAAACATGTGATGCTGTGTCCTCCCCCATAGTAATCACCTGATGTAATACTGTGTGATGCCTGGCTCTTCCTCAGAGTCACAATAACCATAAAAAGCTGATGTTGTTAATCAGTTTCAGACATCCAGGCAGCTAGAGTAACACCACTAAAGACATTCAGGAAAGAAGACTGCCTGAAGTGCTTCAGAAAGCAGTGTGTAGAATGGGAGGAGGTTCTTGATAGCAAGGTTTCTTTTGCTACATACACATTTTTTTTAAAATTTAAAAGTCCATAGTATCCCTGGTACCAGGGTCTGCAGGTCATGTGCCTGCCCAGGGAGGATTCAGAGCTGATGGATGCAGACCAACACTGGGATCTTCCAGATATTGAAAAATGAGGTCAGGCAGCTAAAACAAAATGCTTTATCGTCTCCTGCTGTCTTCTTTTATCCTTTTCTGTGCCTCCTTTTTCTTGCCATTACTTTTGTTTTTCTTCTTCCCCTTACAAAGAGAGGATGAATTCTCTGAACATTGTTATTGAACACAAATACGCAGTCAAAGTGTTCCCTTTTCAGCAATCATAAAACTAAAAGAGGCTGATTTTTCAGAAAGTGAGACAGTGTGATCATCATGAAAGGATCAGAAAATGAGGAAATCAGGGATCTAGAGAGAAAGAGTAGTCAACTAAAGATACAAAATTGACACACTGGTCCACAACCCAACATATAGAGAGTGTCTCAGATGAGAAAGAGACTAAGAGCTTTGCTAGAGAATCTGAACTGAGGTTGCATATTCATGCATAAGAAGGTAAACACACACACACACATACATGTATGTACATACAGTGATTTGCAAATCCGTATCACCTTAAATTGTAAAAGTTTAAAGAGATAAGATACATCTCTATCATCCTTAGATATACTTTCTAATCTGCCCTATCATTAATTTGGTACACATGATGGCACAATAAAATGTAACAAGTTGATTTTGGCACACAGCTTTGAGGATATCATATTATATGCTTATATGTGAATATACACAATTTGGGTTCTCTGGATTCTCAGTTATGTGCATAAAATTCAGCTATTTTTTCCCAGGTGGAGGGAACATTACATACCTAAGGAGTGAAATATTCATAATCTAAAAATCTTAATGGCCAGAAGATTTCATATAGCAGCATTAAAATAAAGATTTGCCCCTCTGCCAATGGAAATGAACACACAGCACAATCAGTATGCATTTTAGAAGAAAAATCTCCAGGACTTCAATTTGAATTAAGATTCTCTCCAAAATTCATTTTCTGGCACAAAATTTAGGAATAGAATCAAGCATATATTGCTAAGAAGCCTGAATGCCAAATGAAATATGGTTTCTTCCGGTCTGTCCTCTGTTCATCAGGAATCCTGTTCCTGAAACTCCACCGTGAGCAGTGGTAAATCAACATCATTTTTAAAATATATGTGCACTTTTGTACAAAAGAGAGAAACTGCTAATATTCTGGAATCTGGGGCCAGGCTAATGGGCTTTTAGGTTCCAAATTCTATCATGAACACTGATGACAAAGAGTTTTTCATGGAAAGAGCTCTCAGAACTGTGACTTTTATTAACCAGAATTCAATTACATGCAATAGTGAATCTTTTTCTTACATAATGAGCACATAACCATTGGCACAGTAAAGGCATCCAACGGTACCTGATTTTTCTTTTCTCACAAGTGGGAAAAATAACCTTGGGCTGCTTCCTCCTGTACTCTATCCCTCCCACACATTTTTAGATAGAATATAAATGCTTGGAACAATTGAAGCTTACAATCAGTGTGGCTGGTCAAAGAACCTTTGGGAAAATGGGTCGTTTTGATGTCAAAGGGATCACAGCTGAATCCAAAGAAAGTCTTTAGAAGAAGAAACTGCTTCTAAAGAGAAGGTGAAGAACAGTTTATTCAGGGCAGGAAGAATCATCAAAGGTAACTTTTTGGCTGAGGGCATTGGTAGGAAATAAGAGATGACACCACCTGCCACTTTATGTGATTCAGGAAGTATTCTGATGTGACTGTTCTGTCATT